AGAAGGAAATTAAATGGATTCCAAAAGTGCTCCACAGCATCAATATTTTTAAAATGTTCTGGTCAGTGAATCTTGTCATTCATGAAATGCAGATATTTTATCAAACTTCATCAAAGTGGTTTTCTCCAATTAATTTTTTTTAATTTTTGAAAATTCAATAACAATCAATTACAAAAATATTTTTAATAATCTACAAGGAAAAATTGTTTGTCAAAAATGCAATGAATTATTTTATCAATTAAAGAACAGGTGAAGGGATTTTGGCATTTGGTCTCTTAACTCACAAACTTTTCGAATGACTTTACACTGGCAGATTTTATAGACATGGATGAGCGTGATTTCAAATGCATTTCAGTAAAGCTTCCTATTCTTTTCTGCCTAAATAAATGATAAAAAAGGATCAATAAGTCATATATTTCATTGACGATTGCAGACCACTTTTACGTGGTGACCACGGATGACCTGGACTGTGAAATCCGAGTGAAAGCAGCCGAAATCGACTATGAATGGATCCAAAAGTACGAACTGATCATCGGGATTGACACCCTCAGTGGATACATCAACGAACAGCGACACCAGGCCCGTGTCGTCATCCGTGTGGTTGACGACAATGATAACGTGCCCGAGTTTGTGTCGCCAAGGGCAGATGTCACTGGCAGCCGGTTCTTTTTCGCCGTTTCCGAAGACGCACAAATTGGCACTTCCATCGCTCAAATTCAGGTGAAGAAAAGTGTTTTTTGGTAGCTTTGGACTTTCTTTTTTGTACATTATTTTTTTTTTTACTTTTTAACCCTCGAAATTAAAAAAATCATTGTGAATAAGCAAATAAAACCTACTTTCAGAAAATTTAAAGCAACTTTTTTATGGAAATGGGACTTGAATAAAATCGGCATGAAATGAGGCTTCCATAAAAATTTAACTAATTTATTATATAATGAAGAGAATCTTAAGTAATTCATGCTTGTTCTGTTACAGGCCAGAGACAAGGACAGTGGAGTAAATGGACATCTGCACTATGAGCTTCTTACTGAGTCAAACCAGGGTGTTTACTTGGGTATTTCTGAGTCAACTGGGATCATCAGGAACAAGAAAACCCTGCTTCAAGTGCCTGCCCATGAATTGCCTTTCAAGCTCAAGGTGGTTGTCAAGGATACACCAGTGAATCCAAATGACTCCAAGAATGCTTCAGCTCCAGTTATTGTAAGTGTTGAAAAATAATTGGCTTCTATACTTCTGGATAATTTCCCAACACCAACTTTGCAGCATTATAGTTTCATCAGTTGCACTTAACTGAAGTCAACCATGAACAGATCACATGGCAACCACCAGTTTTGAAATATTAAAACTTGAAGTAACCCATGATCAAACTATTACATGAACATCTTACTTTACCTCATCCAGGTGAACATAGTGACTGAAACCAACAGGATGGTGTTAGTAGTGCAGTCTGCTGTTCCAGAAGAAATAAAAGCCCAAGAGAACACTCTCATCAGGATCATAGAAGAACATAGTGGATTCATTGTGGGTGTGGAGAAAATAGAACCAAGGCACTATGTCAGTCTCA